TTTTTTTTTTTTTTTTCTAATTTGTGATATTTTGTTCGAATGGCGATGATTGGATTGAATTGTTTGTGGTGTAAGTTGAGATGGGATCGTTTGCTGAATATGCTTCTTTTTATTGATTTCCCGGCAATTGATCGATTTTACTCTATGGTTTGTTCTGTTTATTTATGTTTTGCTTTTTTTCCCCATTGAATTGAGCTATTTTGTTGTTGTCGAATGCGGTTTAGGTGTATGACAATTGGGGTGAATTGTTTGTAGTTTAAGTTGAGATGGGATCGTTTGCTGAATATGTTTGTTTTTATTGATCGATTTTACTCGATGGGTTTGTTCTTATATATGTTTATTTATGTTTTTCTTTTTTCCTCCATTAATTTGAACTGTATTTTTATTGTCGAAGGCGGTTCGGGGTGTGATGATTGGATTGAATGTTTTGTACTTTTAAGTTCAGATGGGAACGTTTGCTTCCTGTATATGCTTGGGATGAAAGACAGTTTAAAGGTGGTGGGGTTAGGTTTTGATCGAATGGCTTATTGCTAAAGAACTTGGATTAGGAGTATTGGGGAAAGATATTTTGCTATTGCTGTTGTTGTTTAAGGCCTGAGATCATAACCCATCATCACCTTTTTACCAATAAGGAGAAATAAAAAGAAGCAATTACAATTAAATTCTTGTTAGTCTATACATGGGTACTAATTGAGTTTTTGAAGGCCACAACATGTGATGTACACTGGAACTTTCAAATCCTGCAGAGTAAGTAAGACAAGTTCTACCATTTAACCAGTGTGGTAATTGTTATCGTTGAAGGATCTTCTTTTCCCAATCAAGTCTATCTACTGAATATGAAGGGGACAATAATCGAAATTACTAATCATCTTACTTAAAGCCAAACCAAGCACTTGGAATCAAACTGCTGTGATTGGAGTTTTATACTGTTTCGGAAGCCTGATATTTGCCTGAGATAGTAAGCTGTTGTAGTNAAAATTACTAATCATCTTACTTAAAGCCAAACCAAGCACTTCGAATCAAACTGCTGTGATTCGAGTTTTATACTGTTTCGGAAGCCTGATATTTGCCTGAGATAGTAAGCTGTTGTAGTGTACAATCTCTCTTGCTTATCAGTGAATATTAATTGTGGAGGATGGTTAGGCATTACGACAACAATGATTTATGACACGCCATCTCCCATCTGCAGGTTCTTGAACAAAGAGTGGAGAATTTAGAACGAGAACTTGATGCCGCCATTTCAGCTGCTGCTCATGCACGTACGGAAAAACGACAGGCTGAGGCAGCACAGAAGGCTGCTGAATTGCGTGCACAAGAGATTACTAAAGAGCTTGAAAACACCACAAGTATGTGAAGTTTATCTCATTGCATGTATACATAACAAATTTATCAGAAAACCCCTTGTACAGTGAACAGTATTGAACTCCAGTTTTAAAAACCGTAAGTTCCATTTTGAGCAAGGTGATAATACTAAGTATCCACATCCATACAACCTGGATGGAGGACATCATCATAATTCTTTGTCACAATCTTATGATAAGAAACATGTCGTGAATGGCACGACAGTTATTCCAAGCCATCATTCAAAAAATCCATAACGAGAAGACTTTGATTTGATGAGCACATCTTTATAAATTAGAAGCTTCAGTATAATCTAAAGTTCTAAACTTTCCTTACATATTCTGTGTGAGGTAGAGAACTTATTTTCTTTTTTATATTTGTGTAAATCTTCAACAGCTATTAGGATGGTGTCAGTTCCATGGAAAATCAGTGAAGTGCTATCCTGGGAGTATTATAATTCCCTTAAACTTTAGACAGTAGTAATGACATATCAAACATACTNGATATTTGTGTAAATCTTCAACAGTATTAGGATGGTGTCAGTTCCATGGAAAATCAGTGAAGTGCTATCCCGGGAGTATTATAATTCCCTTAAACTTTAGACAGTAGTAATGACATATCAAACATACTGATAAGGGCAATTAATTTATGTTTCACTCTCCTTTGGGATTAGTCCATTGGCAAGTGCTATTTTTTCCCTTTTGAAATGCCCTGTGTTATGTCGAAACACTTCGATTTTGAAGGTTCAATATTAGGTGAAAGTTAACATTGTGCAAATGAATATCAGTAATCTTAACGGCACTGTGTCATGGATACGTNCATTGGCAAGTGCTATTTTTTCCCTTTTGAAATGCCCTGTGTTATGTCAAAACACTTCGATTTTGAAGGTTCAATATTAGGTGAAAGTTAACATTGTGCAAATGAATATCAGTAATCTTAACGGCACTGTGTCATGGATACATCAATTTTCCTAGAATACAGATGATTTAGCATGTTCTCCTGTCCAAAGATTGTCTTGGACAAATCTAATACATGAACACATACATGCACTTTCCGTCTCGTGAATCCTTTCAACAGAGGCTGCATCACTGAAATTCTGACAGAAAAAAAGCAAAAAAATGAAAGAAACTCTCTTCCAAAAGGGTTGATTGATGGTAGATATTTTCTTTTTGTCTCAAATTCAATAGAATACAGAGGTTGTGACTTATTATTGGTGCTTTATTTTTTTTTTTTTTTCAGTGGGAGGTAGAACTTTTATTGATATCCAAAATTTACACTCAAGGTAAAAGACATTGCAACCTTACTTTACATTGTATAAAAGAACAAAAGAAATTCAAATCAAACAATGAAAGAATCTCTCCTCCTAAGCACCCTTATCCCAAACTGATCCTGCATACGAAGCAACCTTGCAGAAGTAGGCAATGGAGCAGATGNTTTTTTTTTTCAGTGGGAGGTAGAACTTTTATTGATATCCAAAATTTACACTCAAGGTAAAAGACATTTCAACCTTACTTTACATTGTATAAAAGAACAAAAGAAATTCAAATCAAACAATGAAAGAATCTCTCCTCCTAAGCACCCTTATCCCAAACTGATCCTGCATACGAAGCAACCTTGCAGAAGTAGGCAATGGAGCAGATGCAGAAAAATCAGTGGAGCTTTGGTCTAAAACTGCCCGATTTGCAACAAAAATCAGCAACAGAGTTTCCCTGAACACATGATTAATTTGGTAATCTAACCTTCCCAAGAAGACCTTAATTTCCTGTAAGATAGCCACTAATCTCCAAGAACTCAGAGCAGCTCCTTGACTCTCATGCTGTACTGATTTTATCTCATGCCGTTCAAGTTATCCTCGGAGAGCTTCTACTTGATTTCCTGTAACCAATGAAATGTTGATGAACACGGAATTCCATTTTTAACCCAAATTTCTCTGTGAATGCAATCCTTATTAGGGCGTCTTATTGGGAGTTGTTTTTTTCTGCATTGTTTCATTGAATCTATCCTGTAGGGTTTGCCAATAAATNCTCTCATGCTGTACTGATTTTATCTCATGCCGTTCAAGCTATCCTCGGAGAGCTTCTACTTGATTTCCTGTAACCAATGAAACGTTGATGAACACAGAATTCCATTTTTAACCCAAATTTCTCTGTGAATGCAATCCTTATTAGGGCGTCTTATTGGGAGTTGTTTTTTTCTGCATTGTTTCATTGAATCTATCCTGTAGGGTTTGCCAATAAATGTTAGAACTNGAATTCCATTTTTAACCCAAATTTCTCTGTGAATGCAATCCTTATTAGGGCGTCTTATTGGGAGTTGTTTTTTTCTGCATTGTTTCATTGAATCTATCCTGTAGGGTTTGCCAATAAATGTTAGAACTCCAAACCCAATGGTCTCATGGCATGTGCTTAACTCAACGAAGCCTTCATACTGATTAACTGGAGCTCATGAAATACCAGGCAATCATGTTGTTCTTTTGTTTTATATAATATAACACTGGGCCCAGCATTTTTAGACCAGTATGCACTTACATATGTATATGTTTTTCCCTTTCATGTATTTGTTCTTGCTTGCAGGAGTATTTGAATTGCACATGGAAGAGTTGCGTGCACAGCAAGACGAGATCTCTAGGCGAGATAAGGAAATTAAACTCCTGGAAGCTATAATTCAGACGCTTGGTGGGAAAGATTCGCTTTCTGGAAGTGGGTAAGACCTGTCTTGTGAGTGTAATTTGCATGAAAAAAAAATCCTTGTAAAATTTGACTGTAGAGGACAATTTGATATGCATTTGAAAAATGGTTCCTCCAAGAGTTTCACTCTTGTATTAATTGAAAAGCCATTTGGATTTGTTGTTTAGGAGGTAAAACAATGCAGAACCAGTATAAATTTTTGTTTCTGAGGTAAAGATTGTTCTGCGGAATTGCGTAATCATACTGTTTTCAACACTTTATCAATGGCCATTGGCCTCAATTCATCACCTTTTTGTTAAAAGAGCCATGCTCCTCTCACCAAGTTTTCCTTACCAAATGAAGTAGTACCTTCACAACCATCAAATAATCGGGTCCTATATATATACATTGATGGTGATGTTCTACATCATTTGGTACATGAATTTGGTAAAAATAGCATTAGTGGTGTTAAAAAGCACCCTTTTTCGCACTAATTAATTCAAAGTAATGTGTTTTATTGATTAAGGTCTATATCACTGTGTCATCTGGTGTTTGCAGCATTGTTCCCTTTTGGATGTGTGATGAGATTGCTACCACAATACATAATAAAGATCAAGTATAAAGTTCAAACACTTAAATCACTTCATTTTGAGTGTGGGCTATCTTTTCTGCTTTTCTCATTGGCATGGAGGGAAAGTATTTTGTATCATAGTTATTTTAGAGTGGATAATTATCATAACTAGTCACTAAACTTTGCCTTTCATTGCAATTTGGTCCTTGAACTTTTAGTCCTTGAACTATCATATTTTGTCTTAATTAAGTCTTTTCGTCCATTTTTACCGTTAAATAAAACGGAAACATATGATATAACACTTAAAACGGATCAGATTGGATTACTCTCCGGTTGGTCTAACGGTGAAAATAGATGGAAGGATTTAATTGAGATGAAATTGATATTTGATGGACTAAATTAAGACAATAGAAAATTCAGAGACTAAATTAAAATTGGAGGCAAAGTTTGGTGGTTAATTATGATATTTACCCTTTCGGAATCACATTTCACCAAATGATAGTTTTATTGTTCTACATCATGGGGCAAGGCAGCAGTTTATGTCTAATGCCTCTAGTTGGTATAACTAAATACTAATATGTAGGTTAGTGGTACTCGTACCTAATGATGTGTCAAATGATATTGTTCCAGTGAAAAAAGTGTAACATTTGTAGCAATATTAATGTTATTAGACTATGTTAGTTGTCAGAATTATTAAATCAATAAATCAGATTATTATTTTTAGGTTCCAGCAGTATTATTGTTCCTGCGTCAAACATATGAAATATAATCTTAACAGCATTCATAATGTTACTTGCACCCATTACTTCCCCAACGCGGAGAAAATATTTAATACACGGTGATACCATGTCAGCAAGCGCGCATTAAGGTTTTTGTATTAAAAGTGTGTTTTGCAAAACATACTTTCACAATAAAAATGTTCATTTAATTTGATGATGTATAAGAGTGAGTTTATGCAAAATCAATCAAGAATAAAATAAAGAGAACCTAACACAAACAAACACGAAGATTAAGTAATTCGGTTTGGGTGACTTACTCCATTAAAAATGGCGATGGTGGCTGGAGAATCTTATTATTTGAGAGATGTNAGATTAAGTAATTCGGTTTGGGTGACTTACTCCATTAAAAATGGCGATGGTGGCTAGAGAATCTTATTATTTGAGAGATGTAGTGTGTTGAAATGTGTGTAATGCCCTCCATGTGTAGGTGAAACTTACAATTTATAAGGGAATACAGTTTTCGTGGTACCTCAGACCCTAGAGAGCACTTTAATGGAAGCGCCATTTGCAAGGAACCTTGATTAATGCGTAACCCTTGTAATGAGATTAGGTGACTCTATGATATTGGCGTAACGGGAGAGGTAATTGAGGCTTGCAATGCGTACTTTGATTCTCTTCCTAAGATGGCGTTGCTAGTAGATTGAGTTTTTCAAGATGATGGACTTGACCCTCGTTGGTTTGTATCTTTGATCTAAGTTGGGCTGCACATGTGCCCTGCCCAGGTCTAGGTCAGACTACACTTATAACCTAAGTTTGGTCTGAGTAGAGCTCGCATATGTAATTTGGGCTTCGTCTAACCCGGTCCGTCAAACTTTAATAAGTTGTCTTTTAAAACGGAAAAATTTATAAATTTTGATACTCTACCTCCCTTTCAGTATCAAAATCAAATCCGATTACTCATCATAACATGATATATACATCATTTTTATAAAGTAATAGCTTCTTTTTTTTTGGGTAAATATAGAGTAGTAGCTTAAAAACTAATTAGCATGTACAACTGGGTCGGGTAGCTGGTTAGTCTGACGGTTACCAACTTTGCTATTGGATCTAAAGTTCCCGGGTTCCACAAAAAAAAATTCCAAGTGGGTGAAGGTGGGGTCCGGCTGAGATGCTTGAGCTGAACCGACCGGTCCGAGAATTGACTATAAATAAGAACAAGTCCGAGAGTCTATTCATCCTCATCCTCATCCTCAGCCCCAATCACCGCCTTCAAAGTCTTGTCTGATTTCAATTGAAGGCTTAACGAGGAGACTCTACTCGAATCTTCTCTCTTCCTAAAATTTTCATTGCAACGCCTCGAAGTTTTAGCAGGAGTAGCCGAGCAAAGCANTAACAAGTCCGACAGTCTATTCATCCTCATCCTCATCCTCAGCCCCAATCACCGCCTTCAAAGTCTTGTCTGATTTCAATTGAAGGCTTGACGAGGAGACTCTACTCGAATCTTCTCTCTCCTAAAATTTTCATTGCAACGCCTCGAAGTTTTAGCAGGAGTAGCCGAGCAAAGCACCATGGATGAAAGACCATCTGGAGACCGCCTCAAGCGTCCTCTCGTAGAAGACGATGACTCCGACAAACCCCCTGCGTAACTCTCTCTCTCCCTCTCCCTCTCTCTCTCTCTCTCTCACACACACACACACACATACACACACAAACAAAAACACAAACACACACGCACATATGTATGTTTGTGAGTTTGAAACCTGATCTGTTTTTATTCTCTCTGATTTGGATTTTAGGGTTTATATATATGCCCTATCAGGTGTATGTTTCAATGGCCCAATTGATTTATTACCGTCTGTATTTTAATTTTTGTGCTACTCATTTCTGGGTTTGTTGCTGGGAAAACAGAGTAAAGAAAAATGGAATATGATTCTGTTTGGTTGCTGAGGAAACTTAAATACAGAAGAAGTTATTTTTGTTGCGTGTTATGAAAAAGAAAAGGAAATAAGTTCAGTTCGATTATACTAAACGATTTTAGATGGCATAGTTTTGACTGGGCGAATCTTTTCCTTGTGTTCCAAACAACGTAACAGAAGTGATTTTGAATTTTTAGTTCTTTTCGTTCCCTTTTTTCTGTGTGTTATGAAGAGGGCATGCAAAAGCCTTTTTTCCCCCACTTTTGAGAAGTTTGAGTATTGTTTTATATTTGGGGGTTTCTTGTCTTTCCTAGTTTGTGATATTGGGTTAAACTGATTCAGAACCTGTTTTTTTTTTCTATTTTCCAGCATTTTCTGGGTACCAAACAGTGCACCCAAAGAGTATTTGATCTACTTTTGGAAGTTGGATGCAATTTTTTCCTATGGGGTTTTTTGGGTTTTGGTTAGTTTGTAATGCTGCATTATATACAGGCAAAAAAGAATAAGATATCCAAAAGGTAAAAAAGTGAAGGAAGGGAATTCTGTGGTCGATCTGCGCCAAAATCCCCAAGATGTTCCAAGTGGGTGGAGAGATCCTCGTCTTGCTGCCAAAGAGCGTGCAATGCAGCGGAATCGGATTACTGCTGAACTCCTCAGCGAAGAAAATAGAGGAATGATTCATGACATATCACAAGCAGAAGAGCATTACGAGGTTTGTTTCTCTTCGTCTTCCCTATCTTGTATTTTAAAATTTTTAGATCTGTTCAGCCTATTGTTCCCCCTCAAATAATGTCGCAATTGTTTTTCTGGAGTCTGGACAATGCCAATACTAGCACTATGAGAGTTATATGGGTATGTTAGTAAGGAGATGTTGTATTGGTCTTCTCATTGTCAAATTATAGCCTTATTTTGTAGAATCCATACAATTGTCCTGCTAGCGCCATTCCAATTGGGAATTTAGGGCTACACCTAGTTTTTGAAAGTGCAATGCATACACTCACCTCATCATTTTACTTGGCATGTATGGTCTAGATGGTTGCCAAGGTGCCCAGGCTGCCACCCACCACAACTATATATATCCTACTAAGTGGGTATGTATAACTTCTAATGCCATTCTCAATTCTGCTAAGTGAGCGACTTCTGTTGCGCCAAGAACACTTGATGATGGCTAAAACATTTTCTTTACCATTATTGCCTCCTACCCNTTGCTAAGTGGGCGACTTCTGTTGTGCCAAGAACACTTGATGATGGCTAAAACATTTTCTTTACCATTATTGCCTCCTACCCTGCCCACCAGCCTGGTTCTAAGCCAACCCTTACTTATCTATTGCCATCCGCCTCCCATGCTTGGCCATAGAGTTAGGTACGCCCTCACAAGCTGTTAAAAGATTTTCGTTTCAAACCAGGAGCCTAAAACAAGGCGAATTACGTCGCCATTGATGTACATTGATGCCAATTTGATTGAAAAGGAATCATCGTCAAAATCAGTTTTATCTGTCAATAAATTAAGAGTTGATCACTATTTAAATGGAGAACTGCAAAACATAATGAGTTGTTATCAATATGAAACTTCATACCTATACAAAAAACTCCCATTATGTGCTATAGGCAAACACATTGATCAATACAAAAAAGTGATACGGAACTAACAAGCACAATGTNACAAAACATAATGAGTTGTTATCAATATGAAACTTCATACCTATACAAAAAACTCCCATTATGTGCCATAGGCAAACACATTGATCAATACAAAAAAGTGATACGGAACTAACAAGCACAATGTTCCTGGTTGACTTACATTGGTTATGCCACTTGATTGAGCCAGAACAATAGAAGACCACAAGACTAGGCAAGAAAAGCCCAAGTCACAAGAAATACCACCATACACTAGAAGAATAGTTTTTTTAGAGAGAGGGGACTTTAGTGGATCTAGAAAGTTTAGATGACACCATTACTAAATGCTACACGATTTAAGAAAGGTGAAAATGATTTCATCAATTTGGTTTCACTTGGGGCCGAGGAAAGGCATTAGGTCACCTTTTTTGGCCAACTTTTTCAATCTTGTACCATTCACTAATATTGTCATGAATAACACTTGTGTTACAATAAAGTCCTCTCGTTTTGAAAAAAAATATTCTTCTAATGTCCGATTGTATATATTGTGTTTTGGCTTTTTGTTGTCTAGACTTGTTGCCTTATCTGTTCTAACTCAATAAAGTGGCTCTAACTCAATAAAGTGGAATAAACAAGGTACATAAAATATGAAGTTGTGCTTGTTAGTTCAGTATTTACTTATTGAATTGATGATGTATTTGTCTACTATTAGTAATGGGAGCGTTTTTATATGAATGAACATTAATTGTTGATTGACAATTCTTATTGATATTGATGTACTTCAATGGTGTGGTAATAATTGGTTTTGTTATGTAATAGACAAAATCGGGTTGACACTTGACAAGACTTTCATATCCCAATGTCCTAACCCTAGTGCCTTTATTCAAGTGTTTTAGTATTCCTTCTTGTAATTGGGTCAAAATCCAGCGTTGTAACTGAAGTTGCCCACTTTGTAGGTTTTGAAATGGAATTAGAGGTTACATTTATCAACAATATATGTCTAGACACTGTGCTATTTAAGGTGAGAGGTGCACCAAGGTGTCAATGCTTTTTTGGCCTAGGCTCAACCTTTCGTGAATCATGGTGCATATTGTGGTGCGTATAAAACTTTTGGTCCAATAAAGTCCTGTCCCTTTAAAAAAAAATATTCTTTTATTGTCCAATGGTATTTATTGCATTTTGGCCTTTTGTTGTCTAGACTTGTTGCCTTCTGTTCTAACTCAATAAAGTGGCATAAACAAGGTATGTAAAATATGAAGTTGTGCTTGTTAGTTCAGTATTTACTCAGTGAATTGATTGATGTATTTGTCTACCATTAGTAGTGGGAGTGTTCTTCTATGAATGAATGTTAATTGTTGATTGACAATTCTTGTTGATATTGACGTACTTTAGTGGCGTGGTAATAATTGGTTTTGTTATATAACGGACAAAATTGGGTTGACAAGAGTTTCATATCCCAATGCCCAAACCTTAGTGCCTTTATTCAGGTGTTTTAGTATTCCTTTTAGTAATTGGTTCAAAATCAAGGATTGTAACTGAAGTCGCCTACTTGGTTGGTTTTGAAATGGCATTGGAGGCCACATTTATCAACAATATATGTCTNCAAGGATTGTAACTGAAGTCGCCTACTTGGTTGGTTTTGAAATGGCATTGGAGGCCACATTTATCAACAATATATGTCTAGACATGGTTTTATTTAAGGCAAGAGGTGCACCAAGGCTTTTTTGGCCTAGGCTCATCCTTTTGTGAATCACAGTGCATATTGTAGATGACATATGGAAAATACAAATTGCCCCGCAATTGCACCAAATTTGAAGCAAATACAACATGTGTCTTAAAACCCGAGGCTAATTTCACAATATTTAGAGTACTCGAACCATAAAAGTAGGGATCAAAATTTTGTTGCGGTGCATAATTTCAGTCACTTAGGAAACAAAACCGTTTTGACCCGTTTCGAAAATAAAATGAAAAAAAATAAAAAAAATTAAGGATTATTTTTTTAAAACATTAATCGAAATATAATAAAATATCTTGAAATACCTTGAAACACCTTGAAACATTTTGAAATAATTGTGCAAATGCATTGAAATATAACAAAACATTTCAAAACATGATGGAACACCTCGAAATATTAGAATTTCGATTTCGTTACTAATTCGTTTCAGTCTCTTTGAAAACAGAAATATTTTGGATGTTTCGAAACGATATTTTGATCCTTACATATAAGAAGGTTTATTTTTTGAAAAACAGGTTGATTTNGGATGTTTCGAAACGATATTTTGATCCTTACATATAAGAAGGTTTATTTTTTGAAAAACAGGTTGATTTTAGTAAATTATGAGCTAGTATTTCAAAAACGAAAAGAAAGAAAAATGGGAAAGAGATACGCACAAAAAGAGGTGCATAAAGAGAGTGGATATGAAGATGAAAAAAACAAAAGTCAATTGGCCCTAAAAAGACACTCACATTTTTAAGTTAGATTATATCGCATCTATGAAGTTCAGAAGTAGATTTAAGGTTTAGAATTAGAAATTTATACATGGAACTCTTAACATGGTGTTATTCATATTAGAATTCTAATTAAAGTCACTAGATGAATAACCCAANCAAGGATTGTAACTGAAGTCGCCTACTTGGTTGGTTTTGAAATGGCATTGGAGGCTACATTTATCAACAATATATGTCTAGACATAGTTTTATTTAAGGCAAGAGGTGCACCAAGGCTTTTTTGGCCTAGGCTCATCCTTTTGCGAATCACAGTGCATATTGTAGATGACATATGGAAAATACAAATTGCCCTGCAATTGCACCAAATTTGAAGCAAATACAACATGTGTCTTATAACCCGAGGCTAATTTCACAATATTTAGAGTACTCGAACCATAAAAGTAGGGATCAAAATTTTGTTTCGGTGCATAATTTCAGTCACTTAGGAAATAGAACCGTTTTGACCCGTTTCGAAAACAAAATGAAAAAAAATAAAAAAATTTAAGGATTATTTTTTTAAAATATTAATCGAAATATACTAAAATATCTTGAAATACCTTGAAACACCTTGAAACATTTTGAAATAATTGTGCAAATGCATTGAAATATAACAAAACCTTTCAAAACATGATGGAACACCTCGAAATATTAGAATTTCGATTTCGTTACTAATTCGTTTCAGTCTCTTTGGAAACGGAAATATTTCGGATGTTTCGAAACGATATTTTGATCCTTACATATAAGAAGGTTTATTTTTTGAAAAACAGGTTTANGAAACGATATTTTGATCCTTACATATAAGAAGGTTTATTTTTTGAAAAACAGGTTTATTTTAGTAAATTATGAGCTAGTATTTCAAAAACGAAAAGAAAGAAAAATGGGAAAGAGATACGCACAAAAAGAGGTGCATAAAGAGAGTGGATATGAAGATGAAAAAAACAAAAGTCAATTGGCCCTAAAAAGACACTCACATTTTTAAGTTAGATTATATCACATCTATGAAGTTCAGAAGTAGATTTAAGGTTTAGAATTAGAAATTTATACATGGAACTCTAAACATGGTGTTATTCATATTAGAATTCTAATTAAAGTCACTAGATGAATAACCCAAAATATATCATTGAAGGGAAGAAAAAAGCCCATGTCTCATGCATTTGGTGTGTAAGTCCGAGGCTCATGCCACGACTGCACCTAGGCGAAGTAGCCTCGTCTTAGTCCTATTCTCTCGGTCCATCTCGAGCCTTGACGTGCAACCAGGCGCTCGTTTTACAACACTGATTAGACATATAAAAATTGTTGCAGGTGGCTGTCTGGGCTACCGTCTAGGTGATGCATGCTGCTAAAATAATGTCTTGTTGATTGTTGCCTAGATGGTAAGGACATATGTGGCCCCTCAAGTTTTTGGGCTTATTGGGTGCCTAGGAGACCCTTTGGGCTCTTGCCTCGTCAACTGAGCAATTTTTGAAAATGCCTAGTGCAATCAGATGGAGTGGCACCTGTGTATGGATCTTTTATCTAGTTGATATATTATCACGATGCATCGAATTTGTTATCTGTATTTAATGAATCTTTTATGCATGATGACACACGGATAGTCATCGGGACTTAAATATGCATTTTTTAACCCGAATGGATGTGAAAATATTAAAATAAGAGTTAGTAAAATGGTTCATANATGCATGATGACACACGGATAGTCATCGGGACTTAAATATGCATTTTTTAACCCGAATGGATGTGAAAATATTAAAATAAGAGTTAGTAAAATGGTTCATAGAAAAGGAAAAAATAAGTCACGAGCTTGATAAAGGCATTTTAATGACCCTTTTTTTACTAAATAACACATTAGTTACTACGATCTCTGTGATATGAAATGTTGTATGTGCCAAACTTATNTAGAAAAGGAAAAAATAAGTCACGAGCTTGATAAAGGCATTTTAATGACCCTTTTTATACTAAATAACACATTAGTTACTACGATCTCTGTGATATGAAATGTTGTATGTGCCAAACTTGTGCTTTATTCATTTTATAGTGGTAAATATTGTGGGGGAAGTCTTATATAAAGGTGTATGACTGAATCCATTGAAATTAAACCAAGGACTTGAGTAATGGTGTATGTTATCCTTTGTCTAAGTGCTTATGTGATGTGCATAAATACACCATGGGTGATTGATCCTTGGGTGNTTGTGCTTTATTCATTTTATAGTGGTAAATATTGTGGGGGAAGTCTTATATAAAGGTGTATGACTGAATCCATTGAAATTAAACCAAGGACTTGAGTAATGGTGTATGTTATCCTTTGTCTAAGTGCTTATGTGATGTGCAGAAATACACCATGGGTGATTGATCCTTAGGCGNCTGAATCCATTGAAATTAAACCAAGGACTTGAGTAATGGTGTATGTTATCCTTTGTCTAAGTGCTTATGTGATGTGCATAAATACACCATGGGTGATTGATCCTTGGGTGTTTGTCTATAAAGATGGAATGTAGAAACCTTGCAATGATATTCAGAATAAAGTATGGAGGGAGAGCAAGAGAGGGGTAGGGAAATTGACACCGTAACTTCCCAAGGACAACAATGTAAAGAGAAAAACTATTGAGGGCAAATGATAAAATTAATATAAGCAGATGACAAACGTACACACTTTTTTAAATCAAAGGTAGTTGACTTACACACTCTGAAGCACGAATATTTGTTTAAAGTCGACTTATCCGTATCAGATACGATATTCGTCAGTATTCGATAATATGTAATGGATACACATCATACATATCCAATAGTAATACAATATATACTTCATTAAAGTCGATGTATCCATTTAGGATACGATATTCATCGGTATCCAAAAATATGTATCGGATACACACCATACATATCCAATAATAATACAATATATGGATACTTTGCCAATAAGTATCCAGCCATCCATTATAAAATTTTAACCAATTTTTTTGACAATAATACAAAAAATATTGATCGCCATATTATGAAAAACATGCATAAAGTGAACGTGACTATTAAAGTAGTCAAAACCAATATTGCTTAGAAATATAGTGTAACTTATGTATCTTATATTTGAATCCCTCTCGAGAAAAGATTAAATATAAAGTGCATTTTGTTATAGACGTATCCGTATTCGTATCCTGATTTTTTAGTTTTTGTTATCTCGTCGNTCCCTCTCGAGAAAAGATTAAATATAAAGTGCATTTTGTTATAGACGTATCCGTATCTTGATTTTTTAGTTTTTGTTATCTCGTTGTATCCGTATCCCTATTCGTATTTGTGCTTCTAGTATGCACACAAGGTGGGCCATGTGCAAGAGATAGAGGAGACATTCCATTGTAAAATTGATAAAAGATTGCTCATTTTATTTTAATTTGTTAATTATTTGTGTGTGAAGTNATTTGTGCTTCTAGTATGCACACAAGGTGGGCCATGTGCAAGAGATAGAGGAGACATTCCATTGTAAAATTGATAAAAGGTTGCTCATTTTATTTTAATTTGTTAATTATTTAAGTGGACTGAGGGAAGTTGCTGGTTAAAAGTGGGACATTTTTCCAGGAACGACAGGATGGTGAATCTCCACTTGTAGGTACATATGTATAGAAAAAGCAAGAACGAAATGGTACTTTTTATGGTCGACTTTCTTGTATTCTTGTTGCTGATTTTTCGGGAGTGTTTTCAAATGCTGACAGTTAATTAGTATCTGATGCAGAAGCATGAAAGCATTCTGCCTTTTGCATCAATTAGCCTCTTGAATGGTTTGTTTATTATTTTTCTGCGTGTTTGTGTTGTTATTTTTTCATTTGCTTCTACATAGTGGGTTTGGTCAACCCTTTGTACATAATTGTTATTTCGTTTTTAAAGATCAATGACTTGGGCACCTCTTTTTTTTGTTGAGTGGTTTCATAACTGGAATCCATTACCCCTGGGGTGTGGGGGTGGGGATTAACTGTGGGTTTGAGTTATGACTACGTGCTGGTGTGGCATTTTGTGTGTTTCTTTGCCATCAAGTGTATTCACAATAAGGAATGGTTTTTTCCTCCTTGATTGGGAGCTTTCAAGGTCAGTGCGTTGCGTTTGTTACTGGGTTAAGTGAAAGGATAGCATTTGACGAGGTTACTTTTGACAGGATGGCGAGATATTTGTTCAGGACGGGGTTCAGGTGGAACCTTTCAATCTGACAAAAGAGAGGGAAGAAGGTTACTTCGATGCAGATGGAAATTATGTTGAATACCTCAATGATAATGATATCAAGGTACTGTGCCTAGGTTATGCAATGAGTACCTGCTATATGGAGCGTGTTCATCAATCTCATATCTATTCTTGTAGGATGCATGGCTTGACAATGTGGATGTCGATACAAAATTTGCTGAAAGAAGCTCTACAGTAACAAATGATGAAGATGGAACCCCCGACCTTTCATCTGAACAAATTGGAAAGATGAAGAGGCGCATTGCTGATGTCCTTGAGCCTGGAGAAACGGTGAGCTTCCATTTTCTTGTATTTCTGTTATTTATTCCAGAAATTAGATGTGCTTTTTTAAGAAAGCTTTTATCGATGACGTGCAATATTGGTTAAATATTGGCTTTCATGTTGTACTTGCGAGATTAGTGAAGTATTATTATATTGACACCACACCACATACCTATGTCTTAAAAAGCATGCTGTGGGATTTAAGTTTAATGTTATGAAGATCTTTCTGTTTTTGAAGTTTTACTTAATCAACATCATTATGATTCTCCTGGGCACATAGTGTGTAGCAAAAGCACTTTTGTCACATACTCTTGTTGCAATATTGCGATGCATTTTACGAGATGCAAAATAAATACAACATTTAGACATATCATGCATATTTGTGGTCATGTGTCTCCATTACTTTGTTCAAGAGGTACATAGGATTTTTAAATTCAAATTTGGTTTTGGTTAATATCAATCTGCATAGTGGTGAAATCAAATAGAAGTTTGGGAAAGTTGATGAGTATTTCTCCACTTTCTTCTTCTCTTGTGACCTTCAGACATGTCTATATGGATAACTGTTTCGCCTACGATCTCACTTGTTGTGTAGAACTGATTTGCACAGTTTCCTTTTTAAATTTTTATTCTAAATGTCGAGAAATTTCCATTTTTGATGGATTTTTTTGGGCAGATTAAATCATTCTCCATGTTAATATTTTCGGATATGTGTCTATAATGTTGTATGCATGTTGGTACTCTTTCCAGGTTTTACAAGCTTTGAGGAGATTGAAAGGAACCACGAATAGTNTGATGGATTTTTTTGGGCAGATTAAATCATTCTCCATGTTAATATTTTCGGATATGCGTCTATAATATTGTATGCATGTTGGTACTCTTTCCAGGTTTTACAAGCTTTGAGGAGATTGAAAGGAACCACGAATAGTAGGAAGGAAAAGATGTCGCCAGAAACAAAACTTCTTTTTGATCAGCTGACTGAAGATGCCATGAAGCTGATGGAGAATGGTGATTACAGTTAAGAGTGTTCCTCAAAACTTTAGTTAGAGAATCCATTTTTCGAAGATATATGACTCATTCTCGGNTTCCAGGTTTTACAAGCTTTGAGGAGATTGAAAGGAACCACGAATAGTAGGAAGGAAAAGATGTCGCCAGAAACAAAACTTCTTTTTGATCAGCTGACTGAAGATGCCATGAAGCTGATGGAGAATGGTGATTACAGTTAAGTGTGTTCCTCAAAACTTTAGTTAGAGAATCCATTTTTCGAAGATATATGACTCATTCTCGGGTTCAATATTTTTTCTCAGACGTATATGATGACAAGCAAGGGGATTTTCAGAGAGAAGCAGGTTTGTTTCATATTGACTTTTTCATTTTTGTTCCCAATAGAATTTCCTCCTGTTGGTTATTCCATGAGAACTTTATTTTCCATGTTCAGAAGATGAAGGTAGGCACTAGGCTGAATAGAGGATTATCCAATTTCCCCCCCGGCACCCGGGGGGGCGCAGCCCACACACAATCCAACCCAAAAAAAAAACCACCAAACAAGAGAATAGAAAGAACAAGAAAAACTAAACAAGGAAAAGAAAAGACATCCACTTAGTTTTTTATGTGTGGGATTTTGTTAGCAAATGAAGTGTCATGTCATGTATGTAATTTATCTTGGAATTGAGCTGAATAGTTTTTCAACATNCAAGAAAAACTAAACAAGGAAAAGAAAAGACATCCACTTAGTTTTTTATGTGTGGGATTTTGTTAGCAAATGAAGTGTCATGTCATGTATGTAATTTATCTTGTTGAGCTGAATAGTTTTTCAACCTGTTCCAAAGTGTTCATTGCTTAAAAAAACTTTTCTTAGGCCCTCTGCATACAGAAAGATATGTCTTAATTTCCCCTTTGTTGAATTTTCAGAAGGATATGAAAGGTTAGCCCAGGCAAGGGGGCAGGGTACCTCCACTAGTGCCGGTCAAGAAAATTTGGATTATACTGTGTCCCAGGACTTTGTTCCTAATGGAAAGGATACGGAAAGTGTCTCTTCTGTTACAGCTGTGGGTCCTTCAAACTTGAATGTTTCTACTGATGCAAGCAATGATGATGCATTGGATATGTTTGCAGAAGATGATGAAAATGCTACTGCCAATCCATCTTTCGATGGGAGTGCCTTTCCTGGTATCCTAATCCTAATCCTAATCAAATCAGTCAACCTTCTGAAAGCAAGCTTGAAATTTACAAGTTTCCTAAAGTTCACTGTTGGAAACATCATTTACTTTGTTTGGAGACTTCAATTTTGATATTTTTTCCTTCGATCTGCAGGTGGGAATTTGCAGAATGATTATGTGTATGATGAGTCCTCTGGGTATATGTCTCCCCCCTCCCTCCTTTTTCCTCCTCTTTTTCTTTTAGCACAGAAGCACTTCCATGCAACCAAGACCATTGTACTGTTTTGGTGATATATGGTTGAAATTCTTATTCATTTACTTCTTGTTGCATTTATTTGCTACTTGTTTGTCCATCTTGCAACTGTAAATTTTTTTTACCTTGCCCTATTGTAGGGGTTTTTATAAACTTATGAGTGAATTTCTTTTGAGTTAGGGTTTTGGAAAACCCTGCCATAAGAGAATTGGTGAGATTTCACTTTCTGGGGTCGAACAATCAACAACTGCTTCCCCTCCCCCATTCCCTTCTTTCTTTCTGCACTTTAACATAAAGCTCACCTCTCAGAAGTGAATAGAGGGAGAGGCGAGAGCCAAAGTAAGTAACTTGCCTGTCATCATCACGGGTTTGGCTTCTATGCTGCCAATGCCCCGATGTTTTGTTGTTGAAAATTGGGTCTGGGACGCAAGTTTGAACTGCTTAGACCATGTGTTAGGGAATAACTACTGGTCACATAACTTCTCATTGTTACGACTGGTGTCTCTTCATACCAAAATGGTGCTTTTTTTTAAAAGGTAAAAAAAAAAATTCCACAAAAATGATTCTATTCTAATAATTCAATGGTGGCATGGGTTGTTTAAGTAAATTTTAGAGATGGGTTGTAAGTGAATTTTAGCTTTTGTCCTTTGAAGAGTATAATAGTCGGAGATTTTTTTTACTTTTTGATTAATTTATCTATCCAGGCTACTGTTTTTTTCCCACACATTCCAACTTGTTTTATGATTTGCATTGCATCTCGGTTTTTTTTTCACTTCTCAAGTCGATGTACAAGTGTCTCATTGTGATTTAAACAATTTCAAAAGCCGGGATGAATCTATCTACTAAAAATTTCTGACAGATTCATGAACATTAATATTTTGCTCATTTGAAATTGCTTGCCTCAGTAGTTGTCTTTCATGTGTTCAGTTACTACTACAGCAGCAGTTTGGGTTATTACTATGATCCCTCTTCAGGATTGTATTGTTGCGCTGCATCTGGACAATGGTAATTCACACCTTTTGTATGCATGTGATTTCTTTATGGTGTTATCTTTGACTGAGTGCTTTTAAATTTGGAAAAGAACCTTCTCATGATCGGAAAGTCTGTCTTTCTTTTGTAGCACTGAAACTTTCCATCTACTGATAAAAATGAGGAGAAAGAAATAAACTTGTGTTTTTATAATGTAATTGTTTGAATGGTGTATATTTAGTATTGGGAAAGAAATGGTGCAAATTTGGATGTAAACAAATTCTTCTCCTGTATCCTTTGTTTAATTATTGTTTCATTTCTGATTGTTCACCACGTAACCCAGAACTCTGGTTTGCGCAATCTCGATAATTGAATATCTTGCGGTAGGTGTTCATGCTTCACGTCATTTATATAAGAAATTAACTTGATTCCAACTTTACTGGTTTCATTATTACTTTTACATCTCTCTTCTACAACATATTACACTTTTTACTAATTTAAAAAATTTTGATATGTCCTGATCTGCACAATTGGAAACAATAGTACTTTGCTTTTGCTATTGAGTATGCTGAGGATACTGCTGAACCTCAGTTCACCCTTAGGTTGCTTGTGAACAGCTAGACCAACAGTAGTGTGAATTTTGGACTACTTTATTAGTCATCAAGTGATTATAATTTATTTGGGTGAAAGATACTTGAATTGTGTTTACAAGCATAAAGATGATGTTTAAAGTTTGAAGAATTTATTCCATGTTTATCACCAATTTAAGCTGAAGAAAATGTCCTCTTATCCTTCTGGTTGCTTTAGATTACTTGGGCCTGATGTACTAGAGATATGATTGCTGAAGGATGCCTGGCAGAAATGTGTTTTGTTTAGACTGGTAATTTGGTTGGTTTTGGCTGCTTGGGGTTTCCACTGGACAATCCCTTTGAATCTTCCATGGGACTTGGTGGTCAGGCATTGTCAATCTAGGGAATCATGTATACAATGGGATACTGAATTGTGTGGAGTGCTTTTTTCCTAAGATTTCTGGATTTTCATGTTCCATGTGATTGCTGAGCAGCAGCAAAAATTGTCTTTTGGAAGTAAACGTGTGGAATTGTGAAAGCTTAATCAGGTGAAATAGTATCCACGCTTTCTGGCATTGTAGAGATTTATGCACTGCGAAGTCCATGTGTGGATAGTAAATGAACTGGTTCCTTACTTTTTTTGATCTGTCATTTTCTGGGAAAATAGGGTAGGATAAAAATAGAGAACTTGAATTTAAAGAGAAACAACCTGCCTCACACATCGAGGCTGAAGCATTTATGCTTCACCAAATTTGGTCTTGTTGATGCTCCATGTAAGTTATGTGCATATCTAATAGCTTGGACTTCACTGCTTTAAATTTGTCACTGAAAGGGAGGGAATTTTATACAGCCAATGGCTTCTGTTTGATTAGGTGTTGAACATATTTCTTTCTGCTCGCAATTGACTAGCTCTCATACCAGTTAATCTCATTCAGTGTTTAAATCTAAGGATATGTAGTTTTGAAAATGTGTTCCTACAACTTGTGAATATTATTCTCATCTATTTCCTTATAGGTACTCGTATAATGAGGAGACAGGCGCATATGATGAAATTCAGGAGACTGCATCCATCGCGAGCTGACAGACAATTTTGCGTACTCTGGGAGAATTCTGTGCAGAACAGGAAGTTCTGATGTGTGAACAAGGAAGTTATAAATCTGACATTGGAACGACCTTTGTTGTTTATTTTTTTTCCCGAGTGAAGAATCGGATTCTTGGGTTGTGTTGCTTAGGGTATCAAGAGTTGATGGGTTCTCTATAAAGCAAGGTACACTGCCTTTTATTTTTGCTCGAGGGGGGTCAGAGTACACTGTCTTGCTTAGGTGTCTAGTATTTTATGGTATCTCATTACCGCATAGCTGCATGGTGTACGGTTGTTGATACTATAATAAGTTGGACCAAAACCAAGTAAAAACTGATAGATCTGAAGCATAGATCTACAATTGGANAGAGAAACAACCTGCCTCACACATCGAGGCTGAAGCATTTATGCTTCACCAAATTTGGTCTTGTTGATGCTCCATGTTAAGTTATGTGCATATCTAATAGCTTGGACTTCACTGCTTTAAATTTGTCACTGAAAGGGAGGGAATTTAATACAGCCAATGGCTTCTGTTTGATTAGGTGTTGAACATATTTCTTTCTGCTCGCAATTGACTAGCTCTCATACCAGTTAAATCTCATTCAGTGTTTAAATCTAAGGATATGTAGTTTTGAAAATGTGATCGTACAACTTGTGAATATTATTCTCATCTATTTCCTTATAGGTACTCGTATAATGAGGAGACAGGCGCATATGATGAAATTCAGGAGGCTGCATCCATCGCGAGCTGACAGACAATTTTGCGTACTCTGGGAGAATTCTGTGCAGAACAGGAAGTTCTGATGTGTGAACAAGGAAGTTATAAATCTGACATTGGAACGACCTTTGTTGTTTATTTTTTTTCCCGAGTGAAGAATCGGATTCTTGGGTTGTGTTGCTTAGGGTATCAAGAGTTGATGGGTTCTCTATAAAGCAAGGTACACTGCCTTTTATTTTTGCTCGAGGGGGGTCAGAGTACACTGTCTTGCTTAGGTGTCTAGTATTTTATGGTATCTCATTACTGCATAGCTGCATGGTGTACGGTTGCTGATACTATAATAAGTTGGACCAAAACCAAGTAAAAACTGATAGATCTGAAGCATAGATCTACAATTGTAATTAAAAAAGGTTTACATTTCCAGAAGTAATATAGCCAAGCATAAAGAACTGAAATGATCTACTGGTATACTGGAGGGTTGAATTCGTTGCATGTCAAAAAGGTTTCTCAAAACCACTTATATAACCATTATATAGCCACTAGGTTGGTAACTTCTGACTGATTGGTCATAAAACTATTTCTAAGATGATTAATTTTTATTCTTTAATGTACACAATAAATTGGATAAAAATCTGTGACTGAAAATTCAAAAATTTAAACTCAATTAAAGTAGATATTCAATGTAAAAACTTAATTTTATTCTTACAAATAATATCCCATTTATCGTTGTACCCATTTTGTGATCTTCATGCTGATAAATATAAAAAAATCTTGATGTAAAGTGTCTTTGGAAGATGACCTTAGCTTGTACATATGTTGTAACTATGTTTCAACCTTAGCATAGTGCTTTAAAACAACTTTTAAGCCTCAATAGAAATGAGAATCTTATATTTTACTTTAGGGTGCAATAGTTATATTTGTTTTATAATAGTACTAGTTATTGTCTGTGTCTGAAGACACATAGCAATAAAAAATGGTAAACAATAAACATTTGTATTCATATCTAAAACTAAATCATAAACATAAAGAAAAAATAAATGAATTTAAGCATCAATTTTGTAGTGGGGGTGAGAGGTGGTGGGCGGCAGTAATGGTGGTAGGAGATGGTGATGATTGTGGCGGGTAACAATGACCGTGGTGGCGGCGACGCTGGCGGTAGTAGTGGCGGTGGGTGTGGCGGCGATGGCAGTGGTGGTGGTGACAACGGCGATGGTGGTGGTGGCAGCGACGATGGTGGTGGTGGTGGTGGCGACGACGACAATGGTGGTGGTGGTTGCGGCAGTGGCAATGGTAGAGGTAGTGGTGCGACAGTTTCAAATACTATTTTTTAAAAAAATATTTATGAGAAATAATGTTTAAAAGTACTTTTAAAAAAGTCACTCCAAACACACTTTTAGAGACCTATTTTTCCTAATAAATTTAGGGTGTTAATATTAGTCATTAGATTAATTTTAAAGTAAATATTAAAGCGATTTCAACCGCGAATAGGAAAAGTTATTTTGTTTATCTTTTGAGACTTGAATTGTAATCTACTTTATTATATAAAATATTCTGGTTATCTTTGAGAATATTAATCATAAAATTTTGTAAAAAAAAACTTGGAATCAGATCAATCAAACAACAGAGGATTGGCGTTTGGGAGGGAGGATGTTTTTTGATGAATGGCTAGTAAATCCAGGAGACCCAGGATTTTCCAAGTTTGTTAATGGATTAAATTTAGATTAAATCTTTTTCCGAAATAAATCCATAATCTATTGGAAATATCCAATTTGATTATCTGATGGAATTAATTTTTCACAATTCATATTCATAATTGGCAAATATGAAAATTTTGATCAGAATTTTCAACCTGATTTCGATAACTTGATTAAATGTGGATCTTAGTAAATAACATCCTACCTTTATCCCAATTTAGTGATATATATATATATTGATGAAACCAGATCTAATAAAATTTAAAAAAAAAAAAAAAATCAGATCCATCACAAAAAAATAACCTACAGATCGAATACATAAATCTAGCACAAAGAAACAACCTAAATCTAAGGAATTTAGCTACTAAAAGAAATCGAGAGATATCCAAAAAGCAAGGAAANTATATATATATATATATATATATATATATATATTGATGAAACCAGATCTAATAAAATTAAAAAAAAAAAAAATCAGATCCATCACAAAAAAATAACCTACAGATCGAATTCATAAATCTAGCACAAAGAAACAACCTAAATCTAAGGAATTTAGCTACTGAAAGAAATCGAGAGATATCCAAAAAACAAGGAAAAAAATTCTGAAAACCCTAAATCTAAGGACTCTGGTGGACGTAGTTGCTGCTGGACGAAGTTGCTGCCGTGAATGAAGCCACTGGAAGATACTGCTGCTGTAAACAAAGCCGCTGGACAATGCTGTGAACGAAGGGACTGAGAGAGACAATGAGATGATGAGGTNTCTGGTGGACGTAGTTGCTGCTGGACGAAGTTGCTGCCGTGAATGAAGCCACTGGACGATACTGCTGCTGTAAACAAAGCCGCTGGACAATGCTGTGAACGAAGGGACTGAGAGAGACAATGAGATGATGAGATGAGATAGAGTTTGGGGGTTTAAATAGTTTTGTTGGCTGATTTTTTGGTAAAAGGCTTGCTAACCCGACATGATCTCATTAAATGTCTTCCGCCCATTTCCTTTTTTTGTTTTTTTTGGAAACGACTTTTTTTTGTTTCCAAAATTTGAGACAATTNTTGTTGGCTGATTTTTTGGTAAAAGGCTTGCTAACCCGACATGATCTCATTAAATGTCTTCCGCCCATTTCCTTTTTTGGTTTTTTTTGGAAACGACCTTTTTTTGTTTCCAAAATTTAAGACAATTTTAAAAACGGTTTCGGTTAAAAAAAAACTAAAATAGTTAAATTTCATGTTTTATGAAAAATTGAAAATAAAAACAAAAAAATTGAAAACTAAACCGNTTAAAAACGGTTTCGGTTAAAAAAAAAACTAAAATAGTTAAATTTCATGTTTTATAAAAAATTGAAAATAAAAACCAAAAAATTGAAAACCAAACCGTTACCAAACGGNTTTTGTTTTTTTTGGAAACGACTTTTTTTTGTTTCCAAAATTTGAGACAATTTTAAAAACGGTTTCGGTTAAAAAAAAACTAAAATAGTTAAATTTCATGTTTTATGAAAAATTGAAAATAAAAACAAAAAAATTGAAAACTAAACCGACCCTAAAATTTTATGTTCCACCCATACACTTAAACCTACATGCTTTTCATGCTGCAAAAACTGTCAAATGATCTCTCTAAATTAAATCCCAGCCTCAAATGGGTTAAAAAAAACACTCAAAACGCTGGATCATCGTGCATCTAAATCGAGTGGTCTTATAAAGATGCTTCAATTATTTTTTCTGTTGACAACGCAAGAGTTTGGGTAAACTATGATATGATTCTGAAATNCTGTCAAATGATCTCTCTAAATTAAATCCCAGCCTCAAATGGGTTAAAAAAAACACACTCAAAACGCTGGATCATCGTGCATCTAAATCGAGTGGTCGTATAAAGATGCTTCAATTATTTTTTCTGTTGACAACGCAAGAGTTTGGGTAAACTATGATGATTCTGAAATCAACTTCCTCGGGCTCTTGCTATCGTGAATTTCTTCATCTAGCAGCACCAGCAGTATATGGGTGCTTCGATCTGTCCATTTGATCCGTGAGATGACCAGAACCCAGAGGGGTTTTGATGTCTTCGAATGATGCTTCACAAATTTGCTTGTGTTTCGATGCGAACTTAAACCTCAAAAGCAATGAATTTGTCATCACCCCAATAGAGCTGAAACCCATGAGAGCTCCGGCAATTGATGGAGTAAGCATGATCCCGGTCACTGGCAGTAACACTCCGGCTGCAATTGGAATTCCAACCTGTATAAAGCAAGGGAGATTGGGATTGGGATTAGAAAAAAAAACATACATTTCATCAGACAAATCATGGTTTAAGTAGAACCAAGGAATTGTCGTCTGTCACAGACATCAAATTCACCGAGAACAAAAAAAATAAGAGAGCAAAAATGGAAATAAATATCCTCAGGTTCCCCCCTACTGTCTCAGCATTCTCAGATTAAAATTGGGGCTAGGTCCAAAGATCTATGTCGGCATCATGCTTATGCAATTTATCAAACCAATGCTGACTTAATTGTCAGGTCAAAATTAAGAATCGTGTCAAATTCATTTAGAATCTGGGTTTAATGTTGCAGGGTGAAGGAGAAAAAGAACTTGAAGAAAGGGAAAAAAAAGTAGCAATCAGATTGCAAAATTGTGATCGACACATGAATCATGTCTAGTTTTCATGTAAATACCCAATGTTAATTAACAGAGCATTCATCAATCAGTTGGCTATGAGTCTTCTGAATTTATAAGTTAATCAATCAAATTGTCAAGAGCAATTGCTGTTTAGGAATTTGAAACTCCGTTGAGCCTGCCAGCAGATTTGAGGACTATATTTTGGCAACAACAAATCACAGATAATGAGCTAAAAGTCTTCTTTCTTTTCCTGCCTTCCCATATTTCAGAAAAAAGAAAAAACCTTTAGAACCATCTTTCCAATTCAATACGCAGGTTACTTGAGCAATAGACATCATTTTTTATGAGAAGAACTGAATCCAACATACCACTGCACCCTGTAATGCAGGGGGAGTTGTATACTGCAAAAACACTTACAATATTGTATGCAAAGGCCCACCAAAGATTTTGCTTCACAGTCTTCATGGTTAGCCTGCTAAGCTCCAAAGCGTCGACCAACTGCATGGAAGTGTGGTATGGGTCAATTTTCCAAGGTATAATACAAGGTCTCATATACATGAGTATCACCCTGAGTTTCTGATGAAGTAATAGAGATCTATCAATACTGGAGCATTTCCCAGTTTTGTGAAAATTTTCAAGCCTCAATTATTAGACATATATGTACAAGACTGCCTTGACCACAGCACATTATTTACTTCCATTTTTTTCGGGTCAATTTGAAATCACTGCCCTCTGAATTAAATCCCTTTTGGCACCAATATTACTGACCAAAGGGATGTCATATAGGTAGCAAAAAGCATGTCATTTTCACCAATCTAACCAGATAGTCTCAACTCTATTTTCCAGAAAAAAAAATAAATAGACAGTCTCCACTCACCAGAGTGGAAAATGAACCTCACATTTGTGTGCTAACTAGTTCATAAGTTGCACTGGTCTATTCAGCCTCCCAGTTCCTGAAAGCAAAATACATGCTCTGGGCAAGAAATCATATTTTCACAGTCGGTTACATGGCCCCTCGTGGTATTTGTAAGGCCTATTCTCTGGTTCCCAACAGGATAGTTAGTTTGAAGCTATTTTCACACCCATTTTGCCTGCTTCCAGGGTCCACAACCATTCAGACTGCTTCCACCATTGGCTGGGGAAGCATCAATTACTCAAATGGCTGCACATGGCAGCTACATAATAATTTTTTTTTTTTTGGGGTGCTACAGCTAGATAAATTTCATAACTTGTAGAAATGCACAGATGTGTGTAGCCGGGATATACATATGGCTGGAAAACAAGAAGGCTGAAATTATATGTATACACCAGTAGTGTATAAACTTAGCTTGGTAAGATTTAAAATGAAAATAGGTTACTGGAAATTCAATATCATGTCACATAAAGTGACCCACACTTTCATAAGGGCATCTTAACAATATTGCTCCTAATTACAGTTTTTTGGTATGGGTGTAATTTTAACCCAATGTAAGTTTAAACTGCCATGTCCACCCCAATGGGACAGGTATAATAATAGGTCTTCAAACAGGGACAAGGGCAGATACAAATGTAGACAGGGGAGGTACGGATTTGATCAACCCTGCTCCACAGTACCTGCTACATAATATGGTAGGTCCGTGTCTCTTTCACTTTCACACGCGCACTAGATTGTGTCAAATTGAAAGCAAAGCCTCCCAGTCCCACTGCCCATCAGGAATGGGGAAAAAAGCCAACTACTGACACTATAAAAAGAAATCAACTTTCCTTGGTCAAACATCAGTTCTATCTTGAGTTTAAGCTGTATTAAACTGTATTACCTATATGCCAGATGACTTCATTAAAGTGTCAAAAATTTGAATTCATTAGGTGTGAGACATGTGCACAGGTTGAAAACAATCAGCATGCANATGACTTCATTAAAGTGTCAAAAATTTGAATTCATTAGGTGTGAGACATGTGCACAAGTTGAAAACAATATGATCAATCATTACATTGTGCCATGTTGGTTCCAAGCTCTTAGTTGATAACAGGCTGTGAGGGGTTGCCTGCCCCAAGTAAGATCTTGTTCTCTGTGATGGCTATGGAAAATTCCCTTTTTCCCTCCAGGGTTGGAGAGAGGAAAGGGACATCTTGTTCCCATCCCAAGATATCCTACGTTGAAGATAACCATAACAGCATTGCTAAAATGCCTCAAAGTTTGATGTTTTCTTGCTTTCTAAGTTAAATGGACAATTTTTGACAAATGTCTCTTTAAATATGCCTGTTAAATTCACAATCTATATAGGTGTTCATATACACTCCAAATTTCTTTAGTAAATCTACTGAGATGTGGAATCAAGTAGAAGTCTCAAGAAATCTTGATAATGGACAGGACTGTTATTTGAGCACCTGAGAAACAATTAATAGAAGCGATACTAGTAAGGAAACAAACAGCTTCCACAGACTAATTAAAAAATGACACTGCTTGAAAGTACCTGGGATAATTTGTCACGCATCAACACAATAGAAGACACTTCACTGGCAGCTCCGACACCTCCACCTATTGCAATTCCAACATGTGATGAAGCCAGGGCAGCAGCATCATTAATTCCATCGCCGACCATAGCTACAATGCCCTGATTTTTCTGAAGTCGTCTTATAAATTTCCTTTTCTCATCTGGTTTGACTCCATACAACACCTGCCTTCCAGACCATGTTACTGAGGTCGGTTTTCATTTAATATTCTAGAGGCAAACGTTTTAATCTTATGTTATATTGAACACACTAACAAAGTTTCAGATATTCCTCAGAATAACTTTCAGGCAAAATTTAGTGCATGAACACTTGGATCAAGGAATACTACTACTGTCCATGTGAATGAGTGCAATAATCAGTGATCTAGGAGGTTAGATTCTTTTTTAACCCTCGTACCTTTTCATGGCTAAGGTCAACCAACAGACATAACAAAAAGAAAGGTAACCCTTTTGCTTCAGAAACCACAACTTAGCTCTCAAGGTATGATAGGATTGCTTCACATGCTAATAAGATGAAACATTTTCAAGAGTTGTAGATAACTGATCTCTCCTTAGATCAACAGTACCTTCATTGCCTAGGATTAAACTCATTCCTAGAACATAATTACCGCATGAGTAAAAAATTAGACTACTAAAGAGATAAATTGGAATGCATGAAACAAACTCAGTTACAACCTAGTAAGTACAGATATGGATGCGACACGATAAATATACGACGATACAACAAAATCTTAAAAAGTAGGAAACAAGTATGGTTAGTATATGATGAGAATGCAAAATATTATATTTTTCTCTTTTAATATTTTACTTTTTATACTTATTTGGTTCATAAATGTACTCATTATTCTTATATTTTGATTTAGGATGCAAATGGAGGCATTAAATGCAAAATGAAATTAATTGGACGATTTTGGACAGTTTTGACATCGCTTCGTAATTTGGGCATAACTCTCATCAGAAATCCGATTGAGATGATTCAAGATGCTATGAAACGCCAAGAAAAAGCTCTACAACTGTCATGTTTTGGGTTTTGAGAGATATTGGTTGCATCAATGTCGAAATTGGGCTTGAATTTGCAGCACATGCACCGTTGTTCCTATCTATTTTAGGGAGCTTAAAAACCTGGGGCAGGAAAATTCCAGAGGAACACCACTTTCCTAGCTATATTAGGATTTTATTTTATTTTCAATCTTATCCTTTAAGAGTTAGACTTGGGGGAGGTTTCCAAGGGAAAGAGGGATGAACGGGTAAAGAGGAAGAAAGAAGGAAAAAAAAAACAGCAAACTAAGCACACTGTTATACCCCTTATTCTCTACTTTTTCCTTCCAATTCTCATGAAGGTCATGCATGGCTAAACCTTGATACTTGGTCAAAGGAAATGGAAGCTTCAAAATTAATAAAGTTGTGAGATTTAATTTGTTTTTATTGTTCAATTTATGATTTGAGTATCAAATGTTCTGTTGTGCCAATTTTTCTTGATTGTCTCGTTTAATTAATAGGAGGCCTACTAGTTTATTATTTGTTGCAATCTACTGCTAGGTTAGATATCAAATCCCTAATTGTTTGATCACTCTAATTTGTGAAGCAACTAATATTAAATGATTTGCTGCGTCAAAAATTATTAGGTCTTAGGAAGAATGCTCGACTAAATTAAATGCATCCACTTGTGCATGTGTTGTTTAGTTTCATTGATCTTTCTAATTCTTAATGCTGTTACTAGATTAAACCTTTAGTACTTGTCTTGGGTTGTTTAGTAGTTAAGGTTAATCAGATCGCTTGTTTTCCAATTAATTGCAACCGAGGAAAGATAGGAAGATAGTTCCAACGGTGAATATTCAGATAGTGAATTGATATATACTTGAATCAATGATCAGTTGTAAAATTAAATTCCGATGGTGGATGTTGACTTAGACCAAGGTTTGTTCTCTTAATTGATTTCGATACTTTAATTTAAATTGTTCTTTAGTTGTTTTTTTAAAAATTATTTTCGTCAAACTCAAACCCCTTCCATCCTTGTTCACGGGGCATAAAACTAGGCTAGATACTCTCCGTTGGCGCAATCCTTACTTACTCACACTACTGCATGTATTTTTAGGAGTATAGGTTTTATTTTTGGTTGCTTACAACAGCACACCAGTATATATATATATATATAGGATGTTAGTATAATATTAGGGATTTAATCACTGCAAGGTGGGCAGGCTATAAAAATGATTAAATATTTCTTACGTTTTCCTTCGGAATACCAACAACGGATGCAACATACTCAGCAGCATTCTTTTTGTCCCCAGAAAGTAAGTATGTGCTTATTCCTTGCTTAGATAGAGATTCAACAACATGCCCAGCATCTTCTCTGATCTGATCCTCAAAATAAATAAGACCGGCAAGATTACCATCTACACCAACATAGACAACTGATTGATTCTTAAACTCCTCCACTTCTAGAAATGGATTCTCATCAACTCCATGCCTGCAAGGGGAAAAAAGAATGAGAAGACGATCATAATATCGGGTAATGCAAAGTAATTTTTATTGTTGAGAAACAATAGCTTTCAGAATCATCATGAATTGAGCCACTCTAGCTATGTTTGGTTTGCGTCTCAAAAAACAGTATCCGAAAACTATTTTGGGAAGGATTTTAGAAAACAGTTTTGGGATTTTTTGTGTCGCAGAACTTATTTGGTTATATAATTCCAAAAACTGTTCTACAGAATATAAAATATTATAACTTGTTTAGACAATAACTCAAAAAATAACGAAAACAAAAATGTGATAGTGGTGGTAAAAGTGTGTTGGTGGTGATGGGATTGTGGTGGTGATGGGAGTATGGTGGTGGTGATGGGAGTATGGTGGTGATGGTGGTGGTGTTTACTAAATTCTGGAAAGATTTTTTCTAAAAACATACAAAACAACCCTAACTTGTTATTAAATCTATCCACTTTTTGTTCTCAGTTTTCAAAAAACAAAAATAAAAAATAATTGGCCAAACAACTTTTCTCAGATCCAAACCAAACATGGTCTTTGTTTCCCATGCGTCTTATTTCCATTTGTTATTATAGATTGAATAAGACATTTTCCTGGCAAAAAAAAGTAATGAATGTTTCTCTAGCAATGTTCTCTAAATCTAATAACGTACTGAAATATAAGAAGGAGAAAGCAAACAGATATACCCATGACTCGATTCTCTGATTGGGAATATTGATCGGTACAAAAATTTAAATTTAATAAACTTTTACTGCATGTTGAGATCCTCCGAAATTCATGTACGCTTATAACATTAAAAATAACATTAAGACCCTTGGTGTTCCACTCGCAACCATCAAAATCATCCTTCATCCATTTAGAAGTAGGTTAAGGGTCACTTGTTCTTCTACAGTCTAAAGTGTGTGGAGTCTAGTCCAACTAAATAGTTAACCACACCCTTTCGACCAAAGACATTATGTTCCCATCAAGGATCAAAATTTCGTTTCGAAGTACCGTTTCGGTCAACTCAAAAATAGAAACGTTTCGGAAACATTTCGGAAACGCAATGGAAACGCAGAAAAAATATGGAAACGCATAGAAACACAAATGCAATCCATTAATTTATAAA